ATGTATACTCACTATCAATTGTCAACTGTCTCAATCAAGTTAGTGTGCTTCGTCTCATATATAAGATAAAAAAAAAAGTGCAAGAATGTAAGATTTAACCATTCTTTTCCATTGTAGCTTCCTCAACATATTTTACATTCCTCATTAGCAATCCTTAAACATTTCATTGAGTTGAACGTTAGAGCACATCTTGAAAAATCAATTTTGGCATCCTTTAATCGTATTTTTTTTTTTTTACTACAGGTCCAAGTTTTCTCACATTTAACCTCTAACCAACTCCCATCCAATGAAAACACCATCAACATCAATTAAATATAATGTACTTTGAAAAGGATTTGAAATTTGAGGATGACACAAGAAATAAAATACAAATATGTTTTTCGAAAATTTTAAAATTTTCATATACATAATTCATCTATCTCCATAAACATATAGGGTATAATGTTATCTTGGTTTTAAAGTGTTTCCTACATATCATTAACATTCCAAAGGGTTCTTAACGTGAAAGGTTTTTTTAAATTTTTTTAAAATTTAAATAAACATAAAAGTATTTAACTATTTGATTCAATTATAAATGTATATATTTTTATTAAAAAATCAAAATCAAATTCTCATATCTAAATAAAACAGCAAAAAAATTCTTGAATTAAAAGCAAACAAGGAAAAGAAAGCAAGCCTTTCTCTTATTTTGTATAAAGAAAAAAAATAAGTTTTGATAATTTTAAATATAATATGAAGTCATAATGATATATAATAAAAAAAATAAAAATAACATAATTTAAATTTTGAATAAAATTTTTATTTAAATTTAATAAAAATAAAAAATATATTATATATTTAAATATCAATATAAATTATAACATAATAATATTTAATGTTTATATATATTAAATATAAAATATATAAATTACCTATCTAATTAAAAATTTTAAAAATTGAAAACAAGGGAGCAAGTAACGCTTTTATTATTTTTTGTTTATTACAAATGGATTAAAAGCAAGAGCTCAAGATGAGCATTAACGGTGAATTAAAAGAAACAGTTGTTTATCCCATCATGTGGGGTCCAAATTAGCTTGGTAGGTAACAGTCTTTCATAAAAGCTGCAATATCACGTGTTTATTCTTTCTAATAAATTTCAAACTCAAACATGCATACTCCTTTTCGTTCTTTTTCTCATATCTCTGCTCTTTCAAAATTTTAAATTATAATATTTATTCCATGTTCTTCTTTTAATTTAAATAATTTAATCTTCACGAAACTTGGAAATCTTTTGAATTTTGATTTGGACCACCGACAGCATGCTATGCCACCGTGTTTAAAAATTTTAAATTATTAATTTGAATCAATGTTTTTTTTTTTCAAATAATCAATGATTAATTCGAAAGCATGTACTCCGACCCCAATTGTACATATTATCATCATTTTCAATTGGAAAAAAACTATGATGTTAGATCTAATTATTTTACTATTCAAAATTGTTTTTATCGTAAGATTTTAGATTTAAATATTGAGTATTCTAAACTTAATACTTGAATTTCAATATATTATAGAATATTATATGTGTTAATTTTATATTTAATTTAAAATTTTATATTTAAATATTTAATTTAATATTAATTAATTTTAAATTAAATACTTAACATAACATGAGAATTCATATCCTAAATCCTAAACCAAAATCTTTTTTTCTTCTTATATAAAAACCCTCGACACACTACAAAATTATTTGATGCGTTTTATATGTTGAATTACCCTCTATTATTAATGTTTATTACATAATCCCTTGTGCTATTTGTGTTTGATGTTTATTATCCTTTTGAGTTTATCACATGATAAATTTTTTTTATTTTCAATTTATACATGATGGAGAATTATTAAGTTGCATTATTTCACGATTGCTAACTTGTCTCTGGTTTACATATAATGAAAGACAGTTAAGTGGTATTATTTCATATCTATTAAGTCTTAAATTATTTATAATCTTTATATTAAAGTTGAATATCTTTATCTATTATTAATTGATATTACTAATTAATTTTAAATTTGATAATTAACAATTTCATAAGTAAGAAAGACTTTCATTAAAAAATTTTTTTTAACATAATGTGGTAATTGAAGTGTTCAAATGTTTTCCTAAATGCTTGGATGTTATAATTGGATTTTCCCATATTCCTTATTAAAATTACTTGATATCATCAATAGGAAATTGTCACATTTTTTTTTGAAATATTGTTTTTGAAGGATATTAATATCAAAAGCACAAGCAAAACATAGGAATTATATTTTTACGTATAATATTGAAATATATAAAAAAACAAAATTTTTTTTTTCATTTCATAAATCTAACTATCCTATAAAGTTCGAATCCTACCTTCAAATAGAAATATCAAATTGTAATTCTTGAAAAACTCAATTGATAATAATATTGAATGCTAAAATGTTACCAATTGTCTCCAAAAATAATTTGATTGGAATTTATTCTTACAATTTTCTTCTTCTTATTTTTTTTTCTTTTTAAAGATGAATTATTATCATTCTCAATGTTTGTTCTTTATATATAAAATTTTTTTATACAAAACAATCTAAAAATAAAAATAATTATAAATATTTAAAATTTAAAATTTATTAAATATCATCTTTTAATAATAATTACATTACACGTGTATCAGTCTATCCCTGTATATTAAAGTTGTCCCCAATCCTCAATTTATTGCCAGAAATTTTACTGTTCATTTGAATGCCAAATCACAAAATAATTGCCACGTCACCTTAATTAATTAATTATTTTATTGTCATATAAGCTTTTTTAATTAGCCACCTCATTATAACATCAAATTAAAATCCAATTAAATTAATAGATTCATCTCCTAAAGAGCAAAGAAAAATGTAATAAAAATTTTGAAGGTCCAAACTTATGGCTGCTGGAGCCAATGCCGACACTTGCGGTGGCCAAGACGGTGGCTAGAATGAAAAGAGAAAAACAGTGTAAAAATTTTTCACTTTGCTAATGTAACGAGAAAATATCATTTCATTTTTTGGAAAAATTCATTCGAGCATAAAAAATAGCTCCAAAAACAAATAGTCATAATTTCTAATCCACATCAATTCAACCTTAATCAAGACATAAATTCAAGCTCAATCTAATACAATAAGCAAATGAGCACAACAAATAAGTACCTCTTTTTTAAATATTTGTAATTTTCTGCTGAACCTTGAATGGGTCTGAGAACTGACTTAGGTGACGAAGGCCCCTTTCCATTGTCCAAATTTTATGCCTACATGGGTGAGTGGGATGAACTTTGAATCGAACCACTGGTAGGGCCAAGGAAGGAGGAAGAGGGAGGTCGACGGGCTACTTTAACGGAGGGGGAAGGTGATATTTTGGACTTTTGAAAATTGAGTTTGTGAGTTGAGGGAGAGGAGATAGAGAACTGAGTTTGAGAGAGATGAGTCGTGAAAGATAGACGAGAGTGTGAAAGAGAAGAGAAGGAAGAGAATAACATGGTTAAGACTTAAGACTGGAAAAGACATAAAGGGATTAAGGGTCTGTGGGCTACCAATAGGAGACATGCACAGGGTGGGGAGGTTTTATTTTTGTGTAAATTCTTTTAATTTAGAGAATAATTTATTAATTGAAGAAAATTTTTAAAATTTTAGTAGGAAAAATATTAAGGGTAAAACTTTATAAGAGAAAATTTAAAATTACAAATTTAAGAATTAGTATATCATAAATAGAGAAATTTTAGAAGAAAAAATTTGATGAAAATTGAAGGGATAAATTTTTTGTATAAGTTATATGAAATATAATTAAAATTAAATGGTTATATATTGATTTATTATTTATTAATTTATGATTTGTATTTAATTTTAGTATTTTTTTTGGTTATGCCATTTATATTGTTGGTAATTTTTTTAGTATATTAGAATTGTTCTTATTATTATTCTTTTATAATTAAATAACAATTGAAAATGCCATTCAATATATAATAATTTAAAAGTAATTTACAATAAAAATTTTAAATCAATTAATGCGCCTAAAAATTAAATTATTTAATAGATTGAACATTTTAAAATTTATTACTCCTAAGATTAAAAACTACTCTAAATAAAAATTAAAAACTACATTTATCTCAAATAAATAAAATATATGAAGTATCTCGAGAAAAAAAAAAAGAAAAAAAAAACCCTAATAGGAATGTCATATTGAAAACTAAAAGTTTTTTAAACCATCTAATTAGTTGTTTTTTTTTTAATCTTCAATCTCCTTACAAAAAGAAATTCTATTTTTTTAATAGGTTTGTTAAATTTTTACTCATATCCACAACTCACATGTATAAAAATTTTATAACATCTTTCTATAGATATAAACGTGAGCTATTACTTAAATATGTAATAGATATTTGTTATGAAAATAAAATTTGAGTTGGCAATACATTTAATTGTACAAAATTTTTGCTTTTAACTTTTTAGATTAGGACAATGTAGTTAAGCTGACAGTTTTAAATTTGATTACTTTACATATTATTAAGTTTAAATTTTAAATAATTTATATTTCATTAAAATTAAAAAAAAAAATTTATGACCCGAAGCGAGCATAGGCGGGCTAATTTTCTAGTTAACATAAATTTCAAGTTTATCAAATGCTTTGTCTTCCTACTCATCCAACAATAAATCCAATCTAGCGCTCAAATTGACCATCGTACCCTTTAATGCCTAGAAGCAGTAAAGAGGCCAACGAATCGAAGTCTAACCAAAGGTCAAACACGTAGAAACATCAGCGGTAAAATAAAAGCAAACAAAACTAAATTTAACAAACCCTAGGTGGGACTATGAACTGTCTGTTTTCACTATTTGGTCAACCGGTTAACCAGCAAACTCTCGATTAAAATATTCTTAATCCAGGCTTAAATCATTTTTATTGGAAAAACAAAAGTTTAAATCATTTATTTTGTTTTATTTTAATTTTCCTTTCTTTTTTATTTCTAAGTTTAAACGCCACACTCCACCCCGCTCACTTCACTCTCTTCGTTTCTTTTTGGTAGAGATAACAAAAAACCAAACATTTCCTTCTTTTCTTCCTTCTAAGCTCTAAGAGATGTTTCTTTGAGCTTAGGAAAGGATAAAAATCAGGTCAAAATTTCAATCTTTATACACATTCTTTTAATTCTATGTAATACGCATTTGCCATAGTTTCTTTTCTTTTTTTTTTTTTTTTACATTTTTTTGTTGTTGAAGTTCAAAGTATAATGATTCATAAGTCACCGAATCGATTTGGGTTTTCTTGGTTTTCTTCAATTTTTGAAAATTTTGAAGCTTTTAGGGAAATGGGTATTTAAGAAAATATGGGTTGAGTTCTTTTTGGTTTTTTGGTTTCAAGGATCTTGACTTTTTAGTTGAATCTTTTTTCAAACTACTTTATATTTGGAAACATTATTGAGACAGAAATTTTGTTTTCTTTCATTTTCTGGTTCTTGTTGTTGTCAAATTTGAATGTACATTATTGTTGATTGTTGATTGTGTCAAATGTTTTTGAATTTTGCATGTGTTACCCTGATTTCTGGTTGTTCTAGATTGCTATTTAAAGCCTTCATATGTAAATACTATAACCAAAATTTGGAAGGAAGCTTTCTTGTAAGATTTCAAATCTATGTTTTGTCTTCTAGATCCTAGGTTCTCAAAGATCTCAGATTCAATATTCCATTTGTTTCCTTTGATAAAGTTTTCAAGGTCTTTTCGTTTTAGTTTTTTACATTGTCTTAGCTTTTGATTTGTTTATTCTGTTTTTCTATGTGAGGGGGCAACCTTTTTAATTTGTTCATATTTCGGGATTTAAAATTATGTCTATATTGATAGGTGAAATGGGATTTCTCATAGGAGGCATGGCAAATTTGTCTTACAAACAACTTGAAAAGAGCAAAAGTTCCCTAAATGCATCACCCGATTTACTATGTAGTATGTGGTTTGGTGAAGTTATAGTAATTTCGTGTTCAAATCTGACAGAACAAATCATAAGTGTAAAGAGACATAGTTTGACAAATATTAGTATGGAGAACAATTATTTTGGATGGATATACCAATTTGTATTCTTATTGTGAATTTGAAGTATAGAAGGTTCTTTGTTGTGGCATTATCTCATCTGCCTTTGAGATTTATTATCTGACATTGCCATATCTTTTACCAATCTATGTTTAAGATATAAGTTTTAGTGAGATATTGTTTTTTGATCTCCTTATTCTGATATTGACTTGGTATGATTTTGACCATTGATGCAGATTTCACTTTTCTAGCTTCACTTTAGTGCTCTGTCTTGTAATTCTCCAAGACTTGTAAAAATGAGGAAAGAAAATGTAGTTTCTGCTAATGTTGTAGCACTTAATGGTCGAATTACACGTGCTCGAGCGGCTGCATTGCACGCTTCTGGACAATTGCCACCTCTAAATGCACCTAATCAACCAGATCAGAAACGGGTTTTGCAAGCAAATACAAAAAGAACGGCCTTGGAAGAAAATAACATCAATGTACCTGAAAATGCAGGTCTTCGGTGTAAGAAGAGAGCAGTGCTTCAGGATGTCACTAATGTTTGCTCTAAAAATTCATATAATAAGTGCTTTAATGCAACCAAAATCCAGGTTAACATTCCATCCTTAGTGAATTATAATATCAGTTTAATTGTGGTCTTGCATGTATACTTTTTTAAAAAATATTATGGTATGCATATTCAATCTGTTCATGAAAACTGTCTTTAACTACTCAGATACCGTTGTACTTTCACCTGTTGATAGATATTTTTGTTGCAAAATAATAGAAACACAATACCACCTATTACTTAAGATTTATGATTTTGATATTGCCAGGCTAAGAGCAGCAAACGGGCTAGAAAAGGGCCAGCCATTGTGTCCAAAGTGGCCCCAGATGGAGTAGCACAAGTCCAGCCAACTCAAGCCAATTTACAAAAAGAACGTATTCAAGAGAATGCAAAAATAGAACCTAAATTAGAAGTTACATGCTCTGTTAATGTTAAAGGAGATGCTACTCTTCCGTTAAATAGCATAAATGATGGCATACATTGCCATTGGCTTGTAAATCAAAGTTCCACAAAGCCTTCACAACCCCAAAGTCCTCCAAGAAATGGTTAGCCTTCTCCTCTACCCTTATCTCCAAAGTTGATGATAAAGTGCTTATGAAAGAATGCATAATATTAGGTTTGGTCGGCATTGGGGAAAGTACATCGTGGAGAGAGAATTGTGTGCTTAACAATTGTGTTGGCATTTGAGTGCAACTGTTGACACCTATATTGATAGGTGATACAACTTATTGATATTAGGTGGGGTGATCAGCTCTATGAAAGGGCGAAATTGATTGTTCTCAGCTTTAATTTGAGGTGCTTTCAAAACCAAATAGTTGCTTCCTCCTATGTACAAAATGGGATTTCTTCTGAATGGAATAACTGACAATCTTTTGAAGAACATAAGCAACAAAGCTAAGCAATGACTGTTTATTTCCAAACACTAATCGAAGCAATACCCAAAAGATAGCTTTATAAATTTCTTGTTTTAGTTCGCTGTGTCATCCGTATCTAGTAAAATATAAAGTCTTGTGGAGACTTCTCATAGTAATACATTCGTAAAACTAATTGTCTTGGAACCTTAGTTGCAAGCAATATGTTTCTTTCCAGATTGGGAAATAAAATTTACATTGCATTGCTTGCTTTCTTGTTTTGGTAATGGTTATAAGCTGGAGATATAGCCATATAGGTTGACATATGCTTGTATTTTTTGTTTTATATAGCTTCATGCTGCAAATACTGACATTTTTGAAATGGTTACAGCAGAGAAGGTTAGCTTTTCTGGGACCTCAATAACATCTAATGATCCAGACTTTGTAGACATCGATTCAGATGAGAAGGATCTTCAACTTTGCAGCCTCTATGCCCCAGAAATCTATAACAACTTGCATGTTGCTGAGGTATGTGCTTTGGCTGTAATCTTATCTTTGTTTCGCTTTCATGTTCCCAATCCATTATTATTCCTCCCCTTAGATTTACGAAGCAACTAATGAATTTCATCCCCTGAACCGGCAAAATTGGTAACATGAGTAACTACTTCAAGCTCAATATAAATTATATGACTTGAATTTACTCATTTCTATCCCATAACATTTGTGGTTTCACTTCTGAATTCATACTTCAGTCAGGGAGTGAACAGGGACACTTTTTGTCTTTCTAGTGTCTTCCCCTTAGCTAGAACTTTTTATCCTTGCATTTGGTTTAATCTCTTTTTCTTTTTTCAGCTTGTCCGCAGGCCATATCCTAATTTTATGGAGACAATACAGCGAGATATCACTCAAAGCATGCGGGGAATTTTGGTTGATTGGCTTGTGGAGGTTAGTATAGTTCTGCTATCTAGTTATTGTTTAGTTGCATAAAATGTAGTCATTGAAGTTAGGCTTTTAGATTTTTAACTATCAAGTACAAACAGGCATTCCCCATTTAATTTTGGTCCACAAAATATTTCTGGCTATGATACACAAATACATTGTCAAATGTCATCTTGGGGCAACAGTGTTTATGGTGTGGATATGAAAAATGTTTTGCTAGTTATTTATTATTGCTCCTGATGTATATCAACATTAAAAGGTATTAACTTTTTGATACAGATAAATGCTTGCCTTTGGTTGAAAACCATTGGTATATTTTTAGCTGTTTATAATAGCTATTCAATGACAGAATTCTTTTGTTTGTTTCCAAGACAAATGTTAAATGGAAGTACCATCTTGGTTTCAGGTATCTGAAGAATATAAGTTGGTGCCTGACACACTTTACCTCACAGTGCATCTAATTGATTGGTTTCTCTCTCAAAATTACATAGAAAGACAGAGACTTCAACTTCTTGGGATCACTTGCATGCTGATAGCCTCGTAAGCTTTCGCATCCATAGCAGAGATTGTTGCATGATTGCTTTTTAGTCAAAAATCAAAAATTTTAGTTTGTATTTAGTACTACAAATACATTAGATGTTGCAATTAAAAAATAAAAATGAACAACAAGGAATCTAAATAATCATCGTTTATGCTAAGTACTGCTATGCCATAGTCTTGCCTCACACTGATAGTGATGTTGTGAAGAAGATAGTTGTCGCATAATGGCAACATTTAAAAGTTAAAAAATATGATCACAGTGCCTCAGAGACAGTCCAAAATTCGAACGATTAGAAAAGTTTCCTGTCAAGTTTGACAAATGGCAATCTTGCAAGCAGGGGAAAGTAATCCCGTACTGTTGTCATATCAGAGCCTTAAACTTATTCTTGTGTGAATGTTAATTTAATCATAATGAGCCTAGTTGGGTAGTATACTTAAATGATTTAATCTCAGAGCTTTGAAGATTACAATGGTGCATTCATCATGAAATAACTTCTGCATTTGCTTTCCTATTGTAATTCTAACATTAGTTTCCCTTTATCCTTGAAGCAAGTATGAGGAAATATGTGCACCTCGTGTAGAAGAATTTTGCTTCATCACAGACAACACTTACAATAGAGAGGAGGTATGTCATTGTTATTTCATTAACATGCATCTACTTAAGCATTCGTGATATTTTTGGTATATCCTGTTACTATTTCTCTTTTGGTCTCTATTTTGCACATAGTTTTTACTTTGTGCTGTAGGAGATTTTGTCAACAATTCAGTGAATAGGTGAGAACATGGGGCATGGATTGCTTTTGGTGTCTTTGTTCAGAGCAAAAGGACCAATATAGGGTAAAAAGCTTAAAAAAGAGAAGAATTATGTAGCTTGAAACTGGAATTTTTCTGACTTTAAAAAAAAAAAGAGTTGGGAAGAGTGCGTGGTATTCTGGTTGTTTCTTTCTTTTCTTTTTCCTGGTGGCTATTAAATGACTTTTAAAAGTTTTTGACCCAGGTTTTCTGCATTGGTAGTACTTAGGTTCTAGCTTTGATCTTGAGCTAAATAAAATGGGGTTCTTAAGGGTCCACAACAGCTATATTTGGGCCCACGCTTGTTCATATATGTATACATATAAAAGTATATGTTTTTGCTTATGTATGCATGCACCCTTGCATGTAGCTATGTATTATACTTTGCATGTAAATGCTGTGCTAATGAAATTGATAGGGTCACCTGGATAGAACTAAAATGAGCCAACTGAGGTTTAAATCTGGATTATATTTTACTATATTCTGCCTTCTTCCCTTGTCCACATACTTTTAGTTACGTTGCTTACTAAAAGAAATTGGCAGGTGCTAAAACTGGAGAGTCAAGTATTGAAGTATTTTGGTTTTCAAATATTTGCACCTACCGCAAAAACTTTTCTCAGGTATTTTAGGCTTTAGCCCAATCCAGATATCCAATGTATGCATATGAAATACTGATACTCTTAAAATACTCTATTATGTCCTAATTCTCTTTCTTGCATAAATTGCTGGTTTTTAGGAGATTCCTAAGGGCAGCACAAGCTTCTTACAAGGTAACATATTTAGTTTGGGGTAAAATTGGTCTTAATTCAGGTGGCACCAACTACCAAGTTTCTTTTATTTTAGCATATGACTGAATTTTCTGCACCTAATTGTCAGTTGCAGAGCCCTAGCATAGAACTGGAATACTTGGCAAACTATCTAGCAGAACTGACACTAATTGACTATGGTTTCTTAAATTTTGCCCCTTCTATCGTTGCTGCATCAGCTGTATTTCTTGCCAGATGGACTTTGGATCAATCATGTCACCCATGGGTCAGAACTCTATTCATCGGTCCTTCATTTGGTTCTATTGTGTACATCTAGCGCTTTAACTTTATTTTACTTTCTGGCAGAATCCAACTCTTGAACACTACACCGCCTACAATGTATCAGATCTCAAAACCACAGTTCTTGCATTACAAGATTTACAGCTGAACACCAATGGTTGTCCTCTAAATGCCATTCGCCTGAAATATAGGCAACAAAGGGTAATAGATTCTTTGAACTTGTATTATACTCGATTGATTATGATTGTCGATTTGCATCTTGGAAGACTTTTATAAGAACTGTAGTAATATTGATTCAAGTGTTTCCTAAGATATTCTCTAATGAGCTTGTTGTTATACAGTTTAAATCCGTGGCAACCTTTTCTTCTCCAAAACTGCTTGAAACACTATTCTAAGAAAAAAACCTGGCCACTTCCTGATGACTTCAAGGGGCTGCTAACCAGATAACACACTTTTCAGGTGGAAGTTCCCTCTAAATTTTGCCATTTCTCATGAGGTTGCACCTAATCTACAATGTTCATATTCTAACCTCTTCATTCATGTTCAATCCTGTCCATAAATTCTTACAACTCAGGTTTTGGTTCTTCCAAAACTGTATCGTCAAGCTCAAATTTTAATTATCTAACTGTTGATATGTTGTTAAATTTAAACTAGCATAATAGTACTGTGACTGAGACTAATTTGTTCAATTGTAATGTTTGTAAGAGGAGAAATATGTAACCGGCTACATGTAAGGCTGACAGATGAAGCCTCAATTGAAAGAGCTGCTTTTTCTTTCTAACTTTAAGTTACTATAATGTTATTCCTTTAGAATGCCTTCTGGTGTTTGCTTATTGAGATTTTCTTGGTTCGTAGGGTTATGACTTGTTACTGTAAAGTGAATTTTTATCATTTAAGAAGTAATATTTAGCATAAGAAGTGATAGATATTTAGCATGTATGCGATTTAAATTTTAGTATTTTTAACTTTTTTGTTTTATGTCAAACTATAACTTTTTTTAAAAAATTAATAATTTATTAATAATTATAAAACTGGTTAGTATGAAATATTATTTGGAATGTGATTGTTCACACACAAACAATAATAATACTAACAATAATACATTTAAATCTACATATTTTCAAAAATAAAATCTGTATCATTTCCTTTGAAAATTTTAAAAATATTGTCTTTTTTTTTTTTAATTTTTACTTTTGCAAATAAAAAAATGAAAGAGTGAAACTTGAAATCTTTGCTATATTTTTGAACAAAGATTTGGAAATTAAAATGATTTCTAAGTAGAGATAGCATCGGGGTAGGTTCTGCTTATTTTAAATCCGATCTGATTTTATGTGTTATTAAATTTGAATTTGATCTTTTTTAAAATTTTTTTATTTTTTTATATCTGAATTCGATCTCGATCTTATCTCAAATTAATAAATTATTATTTTTTAAAATATAAAATATTATTATTTTAAATATAAATATTTAAAAATATCATTATTTAAAATATATATAAATAAAAAATTAAATAATTAATTAAAAAATAATTTTTTATATAATATCGGGTTGTGTCAGATTTGTCTAAAACTCAAATTCGATTTGATTTAATTTGTATGAAAACAGAAAAAAAGGCAAATTATCCACCCCAAAAAAGAGAAAAAAAAAAAAAACCTATATAAATAGGCATAAAAGCTAGTCTCACATTATAAACACTCGTCATTTTATATTTCAATGTTTCAAACATGGGGCGTTTGATTTATTGATAACTGAATTTATAATATTTTAAAAATTGAATTCAAAATTTTTATTTTTAAAAATTTGTACCTTTGCACAATTTTTTGATCAAAATTTACAGTAATGTGAATGTACGAAAAAAATGAGAGAAAAATTAAAATAAAAAATTAGAACATGTCACCATTCTCTTGCTTTTACGAAAAGAGAAAGAAAATAAAAATGGAGGAAAATATGAAATTTAAGCGTGTATCTTATTTAATAAGTTGGATTTGCATTCTTTTTTTAAAATAATAAATAATAATAATAATAAACCAAAAAACAAGGAGAGGAATGCTGATATTGTCATGGTTTGGACCGTCCGTTTGTGTCTTTTGAAAGAGCAAACTGAGAACTACCAACCGCTTTTCTTTCGTCCACCTTCTATCTCTCCCGAGAGAGAAAAAAAGGGTGGCTTTCACTACGATGACGCCATGGCAAGCCACCAGCTTGCATTCTTATAAATTATAATAATAAAAATTGCCATTATCGAAATCAAAGTGTTACTAGTTTTTTATTCCCGGAAGCAAAAAAATCAAAAGATATATACAAATTAAACTATTAGTAATAAATTTAAATAATTATAGGAAAATTAAAATCACAATTTAAATAATAAAAAAAATATTTTTTTTAATTTTACTTTTTAAATGGAGGAATGAAGAGTTGTGAATGTGAATATGTGATCTCAATTTCCTTCCTGTCCATACATATCCACAGTACCCTTTCGGCGTCATGTTAATGGGGTCACTTCAATGTTTTAATTTTTGCAGAACATTATTATTTCAATGCTTGCTGGCCATCCAATTTAGCAGTTCATGCCCTATACGAAAGAAACAACAGTATCCAAGATGTTACCTCAATATTCATCTTAGTTTATGGTGGGAAATGCATAATCATTGAGACCAAAAAAAAAAAAAAAGTAATAATCAGGATTTTAATCATTTGATTTATTAATTCCTATGTATAAATGTTGAAAAGGGCATATACAATCATGGCAACAGTTGAATTTTGGTTGTAATTGGTTGATCAAATCATGAACCTCCTAAGTTTGATTATTAAACACGTCATTGAAAACCATGGTTGCAGTTAAATCTGTCAGTAGACTATGATCAATATTAAAATTTGTCATTATACTTTAATTTTATTCAAATTTTCACTATATTTTTAACATTGTTGATTTTTAGACAAAAAATAAAGAAAATGAAATATTAAATATTTTACAAATGCAAGGGGTAAATTTTTATAAATTTTGTTATTTTTTTAAAAAATAAAATAAAAAATACATAGTCACAAAATTTAATAAAATTAAAGTGCGACAAAATTCAATACTAACATATAATATAATGACAAATTTGGTTATAATCATTTTTCATTCTCAATTTCTTAAGCACAAGCATCCTTGAATCACATATCAAGAAGTAAATTAAACGACTCATATAATTCAATATAACATCAAATCATCCAAACATTTTATATGTATCCAAATAAAAAAGTTGGGTACAAAATTTTCTTCTCCAAGTTATAATGCTAAAAAAAATCAATTAGGATGTGTTGAAAGTATTACAATTCATGTGCTGTATCTCAAAGAGAAGAGAAAAAAAAAAAAATGATAAACCTGAATATAGATGTGGAGGAAAAAGCCGACAACATCAATTGCACCAGGACTTAATGGTGCAACTTAAAGAAAATTACAGGCACGTATCTCTTATTTATTTTTTCTTTCATTTGACTCCCTACATAATCAAAAACTCTGCCCACCATGATCATCAATGGTGGAAGAAAACAAGAGCCTCTGCAATCATTCCTATTTTGGATGCTTAATTAAGGCTTCTTTCAGTTGTGCTTGCGCATTTTGGAGGTGTCCTTGGAGCTGCATCAACAATAATTACCACAATTAATCAGATTTGAACATTTTATAAGTACCAAAAATCAGGAAAAAAAAAACATAAAAAGAGCAAAAATTATTACTAATAATATATTTTAATTTTTACCTAATCCGATTGCCTCTGAGCTTTTCTTTAACCTAAGACGTTTGCATGATTCAACAAACATTCTGATAAAAAAAAAAAAAGAAAACATTATTAGTATTAGTATTTAAGAGAAAATTAATAGGTTAAAGGCATTTTTGGAAACTTACTGCCATGGTACATCTCCAACCAACATCCAATCTCCATCCTTGTCCTCATAAGTGGGCACATACTCAATTCCATTCATATGGTCTATTATTTTCTTCTCATTCAAATAATTCCCTGTAAAAAATATATATTTAAAGACCAAATTACCCCTTATATTTTTAAAAAACTGCGACCATTAAAAGAGAAAAAAAAAAAAAAAAATACAGATGTGATAATAAGTTTACTTACTTATGGTGAAACACGAGAACATTTGTTCAAGGGAACTTAACAGCTGCTGATAACTATCGTACATCTCAAGATCAACTTTCCTTAAATATGGAGCTCCATCCACTGCCACCTTTACATATTTGCAACTCGTCATTGCGTTCTTTCTAAAGCCTCTCACCGGTGGCCAACCCTCCACTTGCACCCTATGCTCATCACTATTACAATCTTACAATCTTACTTTCAATATGATTCTAATCTTTTACTAACTATCAATTTGTTTTAGCTACCAGAAATTACTTAACCACTACGATTAAATTAATAATTTTAAATATGATAAAATTATATAATATTAAAATGATATAAAAATATAAAAATGATGTGATTTAAAATTTTAATAAAAATTATATATTAATTTAATTAAAAAATATATCTTATGTTTAATATATTGATATAAATTATAATCTAATAAATTTTTTATATATTTAAAATAAAATAAATATAATATAAATATACAAATTATCTCATCTAAGTGCGACCTAATGCTAAAATTCAATATTTTATCGTTCTGATTCGAAAAAATGGATAAATTTAGAGACAAACATGATTGAGTTTCGTAACTTACTTTGAAACGGGAGAGTTAGCTGCTTCCTGGACATCAATCTGGGACTGACCACAATCCTTGTCACCAAAGTTAAGATCAACGGTTTCAAAAAATCCACGTTTATTGCCCAACTTAGCTCCACCATCAGATGTTACCCTAGACTTCCCTGGCAACCCTAAAGTCAACTCGGTAGCCTCAAAATTCAAGTCGGCGGCATCATTTTCCGGCAAAATTTTCCCATTTTCAGGTGACATTTCCTTTCCTCGAAAGTTTCAGAACTTGCTGCTAGCGGAAGCAAAAACAAATGCAGGTTGCACAAAATTATTGACCGACACGTTTGTCTTGGTTTGGCGTTATATTATATAATAAATATGGAAAAGCAAGAAAGAATCTAACAGCCAAAAACATGGAATCAGTCCTGAAAAGACACGTGTTCCTAAAAAAGAGCGGCTGCGATTTGTCCATGTAGGTGACAGGAATTATAGGACGGGAAACGTGTGCGTGTTTGTGTCTGATTTGTGGACTTTATTCAGTGTTGTTATTAGGACAGTAAAAAGATACGCTGTGATTGTGTGAATCCTCCACTTCCATTTGATTATTGCAAGTTATTGCAAAAAAAAAAAAAAAAAAGACTGTAAGTTTTTTAGTGAATTGTTTAAAATTTAAAAATTTGATTCGATTAAATTTTAGCAAATTTATATTTGAAAATTATTTTATTAAAAAATAGACCTTAAACCCTAAAATTTTAGTTAATAATGTTTTATTATAAATAAAAGTAAATAACTTAAAATTTTGAACAAAAATTGGCAAACTCAGTACTAATTATGGAAATGAAGAAGTAGCTAAGAACTTGGTTAGAAATGGACTCTTTTTTCTTTTCTGGAATTATGGTTGTGATGATTAAATGAAAATTTGTTGATCAAATTTCAATTCTACTTTTTGACCAAAAAAAGTTCGAATTGCATAGTAATAGTTCATTAACTGAAATCTCTTTTGATTTCAAAGAGATGATAACTTCTAAAGTCATGATAAGAAAGTATTGGTCAAATTAATCACATTTCTTTATTATTTCCTTAAATAAAGTTGCTCTTTGGGGAATTATCAATTTTATTTTATCTACTGTAAAGGAGAAAGAGAATAAATTTGTTAAGGTTCAAACTCCCACAATTTTTCCTTTTAAGTTGTAAAGAATGTAGGTGTTTTTGATGAAATTTTCATATGCTACTAATCAATCTCTTTTCTTTTTTACCAGACACCATTAATTTTCTTTAAGATTCAACTTTCCACCAAAAGGATCAATTTTAATTCCTTTAAGCAAAGTTTTTTTTTCTTTTTGTTTTTTAAGTTAAAACCTAACACCAAAACCATACTTAAAATTTTTCACTGATCACCATAGTGAAAAATGGATAGTTGAGATGTCACTTAAAAATAATAAAAAATAAGAATACAATTAATTTTTTTATAAAAGAAATAGTTGTCTATGAATAAGAAAATTATTGAAATTTAAATCTAAAATATGTTAAATATTTTTTTAAATAATTAAATTAAATTAGAATTCATAATACAATTAATATTAAATACTTCAATTTATTTTTATCAATAATAAAATAATAAAAGAAAATCAATGGCGAAAATTGTGAAGTTTAAATTCTCATTAGCACGGACCCACACGGAAAATACATGTGAAAAATAGAGGCAAAGACACAGAATCAAAGAGAACGAAATTTATGGGACCCACTATGTTGGGGTTTTTGGAGTACAAGTCAACTTTACGTGAGAGACAACGCCCTCTTGGGTCCCACGGCTTCCATGTGAATATGTTTCTTTGTCGGCTAATTGAAAATTTCTTTTATATAATTTAAAAACATTTTACAATATTATTGAAATGACAATTGAATGCTTGATTTAGATTCGAATTATTTTTATTCGGATTTAAAAATTATTTTTAATTAAAAATGAATGGTTTCCAATTATTTTAATTGGATATTATTTTGAGTTCTATTGAGTTTAAATAATTTTGAGCTATTTAAAATATTTAAATTCAAACTTAATTTATATTGATTTGATGTATTTTTTTTAAAATTCTAAATAGTTTAAAGATTTTCTTATCATTTAAACAAAACTTCATCAATAGTAATATTTTATTTGGAGAGATCAATATTATTGGTATCAAATTTCGAGTTAAGAGGTAAAATATTGAAAATATAAAAGAGAGAAAAAGAGCGATTAGGAGTGAGCATAAATTGGTTCAAACCGACTTAACCAATTAAAATTATAAAATATGGTCATTTCGTTTCGGTTTAGTCGATTTTCGGTTATAATCGATTTTAAAATAGCTTAAATTAGTTAAATCGATTGGTTATCGATTTTTAAAATTGATAACCGAATTAACCGAATTAATCTAATTAATCAATTTTATAATAACTAAGGGTAAATATGTAAATTTTTCTAAAAAAACCCTAAATTTAACTTACTTTTTTTAATTTACCCACCCACGCCGTTTTTCCTTTCTGCTCTTTGCTCCCGTCAATCTGTTGCATCTTACCGTGCCTTTGCTCTTTGCAGTTTGCATTCCCTCAATCTCTTGCATTTTTGCCTCCCTCCTACTCTCTTGCTTAGCTGCTTGCCTCTTAATCTCTTGCTCCCTCTAATTTGCTACAGACAGTTGTAGAGATCGATCTGCCCAAGACGCCATTGTAAGTTCTTAAATCCTAATTACTTTTATTTTTTCTTTTAGCATGACACTATGTCTTTGTTTAGAGCTGTATTCTTCTTATATGGTCTAAGCTAAAGTATAAAAGGTGCCAACCCAAACCCCAACCCCAGGGTGTGCCCACGGTAATGAAATAGAAGCTTCATTTTTTTTTGCTGGTATTTTTCAGTACCTTTGACAAAATGAAATAGAAGCCCCATTTTCTTTCCTGGGCTTTGGCAGAATGTGTAAGGGTGCGGGAGGTTTTATCAGAGATGTTTTGGAGAAATGGTTTGTGGTTGTCTTTCAAGATTACAAGAAAAAGAGTCTTTCTATACTAATTCGTATTAGCTTTCGCTGCTTCTAGCTCATCGACGGGCTCATTTTGGCCACTCTATTTTAACCAATCTAGCATCATTGTGCCCTATCACTACCACTTCCAGTCTACCCTATTGAGTGCCACTCATCACTACTACTTCCAATCAATATAATGTTTAGATTGCTCACATTATTAAGAAAACTCTTTTGCAACAACTTCTGATTCAACCCATCTTGAACCTCTAGGCATTGAAGCTGTCGTAATTTTCTCCCATCAAAAACTAAAAAAAAAACTCCCATTATACAAAGTGTCGAAATGGGTTTTAATTTAATTTAAAAGAAGAGGCCAATAAGAGAGATACATATGAGGGCTCATTCTTGCTTTCTTGGCATCGGGCTTCTTGGAGATAAAAGAAGAGAGCTTAAAAGTTGGGATTTGAGATTCTTTGGGTTTGGAATTCTGTAAAAATAAGCGTAGTTTATGGTTGAAAGAAAAGAGTAAAGCTTTTACATTGAAGTTGAAGAAGAAGTGTTTTACTGTTTTGTAATGTTAAAAAAATATTGGTATGGCAATATGGTAATGACGTGGACTAAGATGATTCGAGGATGGTCCCACAACTCACGAGCGAAAGACAAAAATCAACGAATGGAAGAGAGCTAGATGATACCCTCTTGTTGTAAGTGAGCAGATGATTTCTCCTTAACATCATAGAAGATGATTTTTTTTTTAGCAGACTTTCTTTTTTCCAAAGGAATGAAAGTACTTACTTGATAGAGTAAGGGAGTTAGAATGCGCTTTGGTTCACAGGTTTGGTGGTATATCCCTATATAGATGGGCTCTGTAGATTAATACAGGGAATTGGGGAATAAATAGTTTAAGTGATTTACACCTCGAAGTAGAGTGTGTAAATACCGGATGCATACATAGAGAAATAAGTTTAAAACACAACTATTCAAGAATAAAGATTTTAAAGAAGTCTATTGTCAGAGATCTAGCACTTTTAAGTTTTAACTTTCTTACTAGATCTAGCAACTAATTAATCTAAATTATGCTAGATACTTAAATCAAAAGTTAAAATAAATTAGCCTAAACTATGCTAGACACTTACATTGTTTGTTGATAAAATAAACAACTAATATATAGTTTGATCAACAAACTATTTCATTATTAGAATATCCAATGTGTTCAATAATTGTGTGACTATTACTTTATTATTTTTTCATTATTTGAATATAATTTTATTTTTATTTATTATTTTAATATAATATAATTATTTATTTTTTATTGTTTGGATATAATTTGATCACTTATTTTTTTTTTCTTTGAAGATGTCAAATGAAGTGAATAATATGATTTTGGATTCTACACCTAATCAAACACAATTGGCCTCTTAACTTCCTGCATATGATGAGGTAACAAAAAGTGAAACTGTAAATTTCAAAGTGATGAGACGAGCATCTAAGCCATGGTCAGAGGTATGGGACCACTTTACTAAATTTGTTAATGAGGAAAGTAATCGTAAAGCTATGTGTAATTGTTGTGACAGAGATTTTTTTGCTGATCCTAAAAAGAATGGAACCACCGCTTTAAAGAATCACATGAATTCTTGTAAAAAGCTTCCTCGTGTTAGTGGGGATGATGGTATTCAAACAGAATTGGTGTTGCCGTTAGGAGGAGTGGAATCTTTAGGCACTTGGAAATTTAATCAAGATGTTGTTAGAAAAGCTGTAGCTAAAATGATCATTCTAAATGAGTTACCATTTAGATTTGTGGAGTCAGAAGGATTTAGGCATTGCATGTCCTAGATTTCATGTACCATCACAATGGACAGTTGCTAGGGATTGCTATTAGCTTTATATTGATGAAAAGACTCATTTGAAGCAATTCATGAAATCATTTTTCACAAGAGTATCTCTTACCACTGACACATGGACCTCATTACAAAAGGTCAATTATATGTGTCTTACAGCTCACTTCATAGACAAAGATTGGAAACTAAATAAAAAGGTATTAAATTTTTATCCCATTTCTAGTCATAAAGGTGAAGCTATTGGTAAGACGGTTGAAAAATATTTGCGTAATTAGGAGATTGATAAGATTTTTACTGTTACAGTTGATAATGCTAGTTCTAATGATGTTGCAATTGCATATTTAAGAAAAAAATTTAACAATGCTGGAACTAGTATTTTTGGGAGGCCAATATCTTCATTTGAGATGCATTGCACATATTGTTAATCTTATTGTTTGTGATGAATTGAAAGAAATGAATGAAACAATTGCTCGTGTTAGAGGGGCAATAAGATATATGAGACAATCACCTTTCAGGTTAGTTTAAAGAGTGTATTGTGAATGAACATA